AAAATGATATTGCATAAAATAATTAAGACAAACAATAAAAGCAATCAAATCGTAAAAATGGAAAAAAAAAAATATATATATAGGAATTTGTAAAATGATGCACTGCCCCCTAATACACATCATGTAGTAAAAAGATTATTATTATTATAGCAAATGTGAGCAGCTATTGGTTAAAAGTAACGGTAATCAATCAGACTTGTGATGAGAGTCTGGCAGTCTTGTAGACAATGAACACATGCTATCTGCAGTGGCCAGCTAGTTGGAGGTTAAGTGTACATATCCCATTGAGACACACGGAGTTATATTCCAACTACTTGTATTATACTTGACTCTTGATATTGGGCTTCTCTTCAAAGAAGAGTGTGTGTCACTATAACCTCATAGCTTTCCCTTGAATCCAACATAGCTAGTAAACAGAGGACAGTCTACAGTTGGGCAATACAGTGTCTCATACTGCTGCTGCAAAGAGGTCAGTTCTATTCACTCTCCTTCAAGCGAATCGGATTCAGTGCATCCAGTGATTAGAGTTTCATAGATGTCCTTCGTAAACTCCAACTTCACTAATAAATCAATAGTGTTTGCCATAATAGTAATAATAAAAGAAAAAAAAAAAACTCAAACTGATAACTGGCCACCAAGCTAAATGGAAAAAGTGCTTCTGGAAGCAGCGGAGGGCTCATAAAAGCCATCTGGTTTCTAAGCTGGATGTGTACTGGTGGGTTGCTTCAGCGGTAACTATAATTTGCTAAACTGTAGGGATTCCTCTAGTTATATACCAGAAGGATTTGTTTCTTCTTTCTCGTAGTCTTTTCTTCATCTTGTGGCAGCAAAAATGATCACCTCCGCTCTGCTGCAATACAGTAATGTCAGCCAAGAACCTATCCAATACAAACAAAAGATGTCACACAATCTGTTCAATCAGTTAGATGCAAGCAGCTTCTATTACAAATGAAGTAACAATGGTGTAACCATTTTCTGCATACTTGTGAAAATGCACATTTTTGGCCTGATGATTCCTTACCCCCCCCCCCCCCCTACAAAACGTTATACATTTTTGAAAACAGAGGATATGTAGAATAAAAAAGGCGGTAAATGTTTATGTCACACAGTATTGTGCAACTGTTTATCAAACCTATAATTTCAGTAAAAAATACACTGAAACTAATTTTAGTGCACAAATGCAATATAATCCCTAATTGATAGATAAAATAGAAAAGATGAGATAAAATATAAATATGTCAGGTCTGAAAATTGTCTGTGCCAACAAAATAGACATAGACTAGGATTTAAGGCGAGCTGTATACCATGGCCCTAGATGCAAATGGAGAAACAGAGAAAGGGCGCACCGACCCAGTGCATTATCGTTTAAAATATTTATTGAAAAAACAAAGTAAGTATCATACTCACCATAGACAGCCATGGCAGTGGATCGCACGTGCTGGCCAGCCCCATATACTATTCACCTTCCCTTACATGTTTTCATCATAAACCACCAATGATCTTCCCATAAGTGTAAGTGATTACACATTTATTATTTTCATATATATATATATATATATATATATATATATATATATATATATATATTATGATTGAATTAATTTATTTTTTGTCCAATTTTCGAATTGGATGTTAATGGGTTATGTGATGTCAGGCTCCGCCTTTGGGTGGATTTGATACGGCCCTTTTGCTATCATTTAGTAACTTATATAAAGAGAAGTACAGACTCCTATAGTGTTGGCTCTGAGGAAGAGGTTGTGTTCTCAATATGCGTTAGCCATTTGGACATCCAGGGTTCCATCGTATGGACTCAGATGTTGTTTGGATCATACATCTTGTTCAGTCTGACATGCCTGTGTTTTTATGTCTATTGTGAGTATGATACTTTGTTTTTTCAATAAATATTTTAAACGATAATGCACTAGGTCGGTGTGCCCTTTCTCTGTTTCTCCATTTGCATCCAGTGTATTTGGACCACCCCGGTCTGTTGAGGGCAGCAAGCAGTGCATATTTCAGAAAATTCCAGAACATTCCTATTGGGTCTACTGAGTCCTTTCCTAGCGCAGGAGAAAAGTGTTTGTTGTGTTGGATATACTATGGCCCTAGAACTATTCTCTTCTAAATACCCCGTGAACGGTACCTAACTTGGGTTGCATAATCAGCGTTTACATATGTACAGTGGGGATCGAAAGTTTGGGCACCCCAGCTAAACATTTGTATTAATGTGCATAAAGAAGCCAAGGAAAGATGGAAAAATCTCCAAAAGGCATCAAATTACAGATTAGACATTCTTATAATATGTCAACAAAAGTTAGATTTTATTTCCATCATTTACACTTTCAAAATAACAGAAAACAAAAAAATGGCGTCTGGAAACGTTTGGGCACCCTGCAGAATTTATAGCATGCACTGCCCCCTTTGCAAAGCTGAGACCTGCCAGTGTCATGGATTGTTCTCAATCATTGTCTGGGAAGACCAGGTTATGTCAATCTCAAAGGTTTTAAATGCCCAGACTCATCTGACCTTGCCCCAACAATCAGCACCATGGGTTCTTCTAAGCAGTTGTCTAGAAAACTGAAACTGAAAATAGTTGACGCTCACAAAGCTGGAGAAGGCTATAAGAAGATAGCAAAGCGTTTTCAGATGTCAATATCCTCTGTTCGGAATGTAATTAAGAAATGGCAGTCATCAGGAACAGTGGAAGTTAAAGCAAGATCTGGAAGACCAAGAAAAATATCAGACAGAACAGCTCGCAGGATTGTGAGAAAAACAATTCAAAACCCACGTTTGACTGCACGATCCCTCCAGAAAGATCTGGCAGACACTGGAGTTGTGGTACACTATTCCACTATAAAGAGATACTTGTACAAATATGGTTTCATGGAAGAGTCATCAGAAGAAAGCCTCTTCTATGTCCTCACCACAAAAATCATCGTTTGAACTTTGCAAATGAACATATAGACAAGCATGATGCATTTTGGAAACAATTTCTGTGGACCGATGAGGTTAAAATTGAACTTTTTGGCCGGGATGAGCAAAGGTACGTTTGGAGAAGAAGGGGCACAGAATTTAATGAAAAGAACCTTTGTCCAACTGTTAAGCATGGGGTTGGATCAATCATGCTTTGGGGTTGTGTTGCAGCCAGTGGCACAGGGAACATCTCACGAGTAGAAGGAAAAATGGATTCAATAAAATTTCAGCAAATTTTGGATGGTAACTTGATGCCATCTGTGAAAAAGCTGAAGTTAAAGAGAGGATGGCTTCTACAAATGGAGAATGATCCTAAACACACCTCGAAATCCACGGGGGATTACATCAAGAGGCGTAAACTGAAGGTTTTGCCATGGCCTTCACAATCTCCTGACCTCAACATAATTGAAAATCTATTGATAGACCTTAAAAGAGCAGTGCGTGACAGACAGGCCAGAAATCTCAAAGAACTGGAAGACTTTTGTAAGGAAGAATGGGCAAAGATACCTCAAACAAGAATTGAAAGACTCTTGGTTGGCTACAAAAAGCGTTTACAAGCTGTGATACTTGCCAAAGGGGGCAGTACAAGATATTAACTCTGCAGGGTGCCCAAACTTTTGCAGACGCCATTTTTTTGTTTTCTGTTATTTTGAAAGTGTAAATGATGGAAATAAAATCTAACTTTTGTTGACATATTATAAGAATGTCTAATCTGTAATTTGATGCCTTTTGGAGATTTTTCCATCTTTCCTTGGCTTCTTTATGCACATTAATACAAATTTTTAGCTGGGGTGCCCAAACTTTCGATCCCCACTGTATATATTGCACTACATAGTTGAAGGTAAATCTAAAGGAAATTGGGTGGAAATTGGACAGAAAATTGTATAGTGTATGCCCAGCCTTACTGACTGGCAGGAGTTCATTCCCAGCACTCTTTCTAAATTATGACAGCAGGTGCGTGAAGATCCTCTGCCCACTGTCACAAGCAGGGGGATTAGGGGGAGGGAAGGCAGGAGCTGGAACATGTTACATGTTCTACCATAAATACAGATGTAACATGTTCCAAAGGTGAACTTATCTTTTAAGCAGAGAGAACTCCTTGAGGCTCTAAACCATGGCCCGATTTTTATGAATGGTAAGGGTCATGGAAAAAAGCACATTGCAGCATAGAGCGGCTAGGGATGTCCACTCTCCATAATAAATGAGCGCCTTAGTTATCTCCTCTCCTTTATTAAAACAAGGCTCTGTTTTTTTATTACAGCTATGTACTCTTGACTGGGGGGAAACATGATTTAGACATGAAATAGAGCTACAGCAATTGCGTGACCGGAGGATCTTCTCCCCTTTTAAAGTGGAATTAAACCCACTGATTTAATGGTTTCCCAAAACAGTTACATTGAGCCTGGGTTCACACTGATGTGGTGCGGAATTCTGAGCATTTTCTGTGCGAATTCTGCACCGCATCAGAATCGCACCCCGTTCATGCGAACCACTGCGGGTGTATAACTTAACAACACCTCGAAAGCGGTCCACAAAATGTGGTGCGATGCGCAGAATCGGATTGCATAGGTGTGAATACCCATGCGATCCAATTCTAGTGCGGACCAAAAAAAGGGTCCTGCACGTTTATTGTGTGGATGCGGTGCGATTAGAGCCATACAAAATGTATGGCTTCAATCGCACCGCACACGAATCGCATGTGATTTGCACAGGAATGCGGTGCGGTCCCTGTTCGAATCACATGTGATATACCGCACCGCATATATGTGAACTGATAGAGGCGAAGATGGCAGCTTCCTTGGCTGTAAAGGTTAAAAGGGATTGTTCTGCTTTAAGTTGATCCCAGGCAAAATGAGTAAAGCTAAACTGACCTCTTCAACATTCTATCTATTGTAATTCTTCTGCAGTCAGAAAACCACTTTAGACTATTTTAGTCTAAATTATCTCTTGAATTGTGAAGCCACCAGTGTTACAAATCATTAAAATGAACAGTTACCCCAAAAAATACTTAAAGAACACGTTACCACCAGTTAATTTTCCCAGTCTGTGCAAGGCAAATTCTCTTCTTCATCCTCTGATTCAGGTGAAGCCTCTTTAATCCGTCTAAGTGCCTCATGAATGCTGCGTGTCAGCGGGTCTGTGTCATTCAAAAGTGTGAAAGATTCTCTTAAAACATTTTGGACCTTCTTCAATTTCACCCCCTTCCGGATTTGTGCCAATATATTATTGCTGTCATCCTCATCAGGGAAAGGTGCCAGTGTCCTTTGCTCCACTTTTTTCAGATGAAAACTTCCACGTTTTAGGGAAGCTAAAACTTCATCCATTGGTGAGCTCACTAGAAAAGACACGGAAATCAATGCTAATAGTTATATCATTGTAATTTTAAAGGATTGCAACATTTTTTGGATGAATTAACTGAAATCAGAAGTGCAAAGAAAATAAACCTAATCTAAATCATTTAATGTCCTACAGTTTCAAAGATAAGTGACTTATCGCCACCTATATCATCTGAATGTTTAGGTTGGGCCTCTCTGCCTTACTGTTTAAGGTCCCTTTCACACAGGCGTTCCGTATTTCCCTTTTTTCATCCCTGTGTTAATGGATGAAAAACAGACACTAATGTATTTCTATGGGCTAACAGATATAAGCGAATGATCATCCGTTGACATTTGCTTCCATTAACATTCGTTTTTTGAAATGTTCCGTAAAAAAAAAAAAAAGGATGTAAAAAGATGTAAAACGGACATACGGTCTATTTTTGCATTGATAAAAGATGTAAAAAACTGATGAGAAACTGATCCGTTTTTTCTTTGAAAAACGTGACTGAACTAATGAAACACACAGAATGCCTGTGTAAAAAGGGCCTAATGCAAAGACTGAATTACTTCAGGCCTTAAAGACCAATTAACATTCAGTGTAACCACTTGACCTCAGGAAGGTTTTACCCCCTTCATGACCAGAGCATTTTTTTGCTATTCAGAACTGTGCTACTTTAACTGGCAATTGCTCGAAAAATTCATATCATTTTTACACACACAACAGAGCTTTATTATGCTGGTATTTAATAACCACTACGTTTTTATTATTTGCTATATAAATAAAAAAAAGACCAAAAAGTTTGAAAAAAAAAAAAATCCGAAATTTTGCAAATAAATCTTAAATAAATAAAAATAGATAAAATGTAGTTTTCTACATTTCTTTTGTAAAAATAACACAAATTAGTGTATACTATTTACTCTCTGTTAAAATCATCTGCAATTTATGGTATATTTAGCCCAAAAAATGGCAGGGCAGAAAAAATACCCCCAAACGCCCCCTTTTTGGATAGTAGACAGTCCATGGTTTAGTAAGAGGCATGGCAAGTTTTTTTGAAATTTTATTTTTTTGTCACTTTTTTTGAAAATGAATAAATTAAATAAAAAATTTTTTTTACATACTGTCAACAGTGCAGCACAGCATCATCATGACTGATGTGGCAGCAATCAGGGATATTGAACAAAGCATGCCCTCTATAATGTGTACTTTTATCAATTAAGAGCAGTAAGTGTCATTTCTTAATGCTGCTTGTTCCTTTGCTATCAGCATGAGTAATTTTTGAGGAATTTTCTTGACACCAAGAGAAAAAAAAGATGACGGGGGAGGGCGCAGCCTGTAATTGCAAGTCTCACTATGTTACAGCTAGGTACAACTTATGAAGGATGAGTTGCTCCATCTCTGTGTATCACCTGAGGCCATTCACTTCACTAGATATATGTAAGGGTTTACAACAACTTAAAAAAAAAAATCTATTTTTTCTTTTTTTACATATTGTCATCAGAGTAGTTCGGTGTCACCATGGGAGTAATCAGCAAATTTTTCCAACCCTGTGACTTATTACAGTGATGATCACTGTAACAGCAATGGGTTGAACTGTCATGAATAGCTTTCATGCACAACTCATTGTTTACTATTGTGATGCTATGATTGGCTCACAGCTATCACACATGATACAGGGCGCTGGGATAGGCCTAGGTACCATGTGATTACTGGTGACCAATCACAGCATCACAATAGTAAGCAATCCGTCAAGACTGAAAGCCATCCATGAGAGTTTTGCTTACATGTTATTGCTATGATTGGTCATATCTATCATGATACCCCGGCCGCTAATAGCGTCCATGCATCACGTTACCACGTGACTCTTTGGTGAAAGATAGAAGGGGGAGAGATGCATGGTTGCATTATCTTTTGCTCCCCAAAATATCACATATGTTAGAGCAATCATGGTGGACTAGATTTACAGCTATAAGGTTTTACATCAATGGTGAAGGAGCTGTTGTATACTAATCTATTTATGCTTTGTTACATGTAGTGTGTAAACCAAAACTTAATTATCTTAGGAATACAAATGTGTATATCCTTGATAATCAATATGATATGTGTGTTCCTCCATAAGATTCTCCTTACATTTAAACTGCATATATATTGTTGAAAAAGCGGACTTTATTCCAAGAAACGCATTGGATGAAAATCATCGTATGCAAGATAATCTTTGATATATGCCATGTAACTATGAGATTTATACTTTTAATGAGTAGAATTTAGGAATGTGAAAAATCCTCTTTATTTCGTGAAAACAAAAGAAAAAAAAAAAAAAAAAGAAATGCTTTTAAGAATATGAGAAAGAACACTTATCACATAATATCCTCTTTCTCTGTACTATTTACCTTATAAAAGGCATAGGGTCTTTCAGGGGCTCCCGCTGCTGTCAGTCAAATCATGTGATGAGGAAGAGGGGGTCAGGGCCAAAACGCTCTGTGTCCATGTACACAGGCTACGTGGCTTGGGATTGAGCCTGCAAGTGTGCCCCGTGAGCAAACAGTTTGCTATGGGGGCACACCAAGAAGAGGAGCCAGGAGCACCAGCAGGGGAACCAAAACCTGGAGGATCATGGCCACTCTAATAGTCAGCAAAGGCAAAAGATCCCATGCCATCTACCCCCCCCCCTCCCTTTTGTTTCCTCTGCATATTTCTCTGATTTGGGGGTTAAGTTTTGATTTATCATGTGCTTCTCTGAATACTCGTTATTGTTACATATTTATCTGATCTGTTTCTTTAGGAAGTACTAGCAATGATACTAATTCTAGATGTTGGCATGGATTCTCAGGAAATTTTTAAGACACCGTACATTTACAATATAGTCAATGGACTGATATATTTACTATCTACTGACGGATATATTTTGTTATTTACAGGGGCTGATGGTCTTTGGATTGTTAACTTTTGTAACAAAAAATCCTTTTTTTTTTTTTAAATTTCACGTGAACTTGTATATGAAATGAACCCACTCTTAATATTTTTTTGATACAGCAATGGCAGCTTCCGTAATGTCTCATGACAAAGTCACGTTAAACTAGCTCTTGGTTTCGGTTAGAGATAAATGCAATGCTACAACCCAATCAGTATTCTGGAAATAGTACTCTACCTCTTCTTTGCTGCAGGCCTTCTAGAGCTCCAGTTTTCTTCAACTTTTTTCTGGCACTGACAAGTTGACTGCTGTCAAATAACTGGGATAAGGGGGCGCCTGCAGATGTTGGAGGTGCAGTGTCCTCCGGCTCCTTCTTGACGTGTATAACTCTGACATCTAAAGGTTCTGTCTCCTCTTTTAAGGAAGGTGGAGGCGGAGGTGGTGGCGGTGGAGGGGGAGGTGGAGCACAGGACACAGGCAGAGACTGGGGTTGTACAGTATCAAGTTCTAGTTTTTCACTTGTGAAGGTGGGAAGAGAAGCTGTTTCAGGAAGCTGAGAGCTAACTGCATCAGGAGGTAAGGAATTCTCTTCAAGCTGTGGTTGTTTATGGATTTTAGAAACATCCAATGGCTGTAACACTTCTAGTGTTTCCACATCAGGTATCCCTTGTGTCTGAATACTGACAGATAGGGAATGTGGTTCATCAAGGTTGGGGGTAGTTCTTGCTGTGGGTTTCCTTCTGCCAGGAGTCAAACGCAATCGTGTAGACTTCAGTATCACTTGCCCAGGATGACGCTGTGTATTAAAAAAAAATAAGTCTAAGCAAGGTCACTGATCATAAAACCCATAGGAAGACAGAACATTCCATAAATTGCATCAAACTGATTTTACTTACTCCAAACTGCCACAAAAGTACCATTGCTGCTGGCAATATAAAGCTACCTAGAGCACCGTCCTGATTTGCCACTAACCTGTTTAAATGTGCGGAGTCTATCCAAGGTCTTCTGTCGCTCCTGACTAACCCAAGTGCTCTTTTGTTCTTCTTCATCTTGCTGTTGGTCACGTTTCTGAAACACAAAATGGTAAACATAATTATCAAAACAGACGGTATGAAGAGACATTAACCCCTTGACGCCGACGTAACACAAATTTGCGGCCTCACAGAACTGGGTTTTCCATGGGGTCACATATTTGCGTACCTGTCTTTCTGCTGGGAGTGCACCGCACGGCACACTCCCAGCTAAAAGACCACGGTGTCACTGAGAGCACCGGGTCCCGTTCTAAGGATCGGGACCCGGGACTCCCAATTCTGGGTCACATGATCGCTGTGATAGCCTCTGACTGGCTATCACAGTGGTCAGTCACTACAGCCCGGCCCCCTTGTTTTTTTTTCTCTCTATGAATGGAGGAGAGAGATACGTTGTATCTCTCTAGCTCCTGGCATAGAGGGAAAAAAAATGTTTGTTAAAAAAAACAAACAAAAAACAAATAAATAAATATTAATAAATAAAATAAAAAATAAAGAAAAATACCTAGATCAAGGTTTGATCTAGTTCTGTGCCAGTTTAAGTGTTTGGGTCAAGGTCAAAGTGAGGGTCAAAGGTCAGGATTTAAAAAAAAAAAATGGTATCAGTGGGTCAGTGTGTTTTAGGTAAAAAAACAAAATGTGCACTATTGTTTCTGCGCTGTACTACAGGTACAAACAACAAATAACATACACATATATGGTATCACTGCGATCAACAAGAGCTGGAGAATTTATTCTGGGTTGTTCTTTGGTGGTAGGTTATGGTAGTAACACACAGCTAAATAAAAAAAAATGTATTTATTTTTTTTTTACTATTTTTGGCCAGTTTTCCTTTGATAATAAAACAAAAAAATAAGGAGCTATCCAATACCATTTACCACCAAATCGCAAGTGATATAATAGAGTGCCATGTGTACATAAGTGTTCACACAGGATTGCTATTGACAGGAGTTTTCACACTGAAGTCAATGGGAGGTGGTTTTGCATTGAAGTCAACGGGCCACGAGTTTGCATTGAAGTTAATGGACCACAATTTTGCATTGACGTTAATTGGCCACGATTTTACTTTGAAGCCAATGGGACGCGATACTGCACTGAAGTCAATGGGAGGAAATTGTAGCGAGAAAGAGCAGGCAAAATCGCACCTGTACTGAAATCACACAGAAACAGGAATGGTATTCACAACGAAACATTGCTATTTCACTACACATTTGTGAACCCAGGCTAAAGAGGCTGCTTGCCTGCAGCAGGGCTAAATGTGAAAAAAACCCACCTGCCTGGTGCCTAGGATTGCATGTCCTGGGAACCGGGCGATGATTTGCCAACCCCTGAGTTATGCTATACTAACACTTGCAAATTCTAAATGGCATATGGCCATCTAAAAAGCTCTTGATTGTTTTGTGGTGGTGACAACCATTATATATTTCTGTCTAAAAATGTGCAGCACACTGGCTAAATGGTTAGCACTTCCACCTGTAATCCCAACCACGGCAATACCTGCCTGGAGTTTGCATGATCTCCCTGCGCCTAGGTGGGTACTGGGTGGGTTTCCTCTGGGTACTCCCGTTTCCCTCCCACACTCCAAAGATATGCTGGTACGTTAATTGGATCCTGTCTAAATTGGCCCTAGTATGTGTATGTATGAATGTGAGTTAGGGACCTTAGATTGTACACCCCTTGACGGTTAGAGACTGATGTGAATGTACAATATATATGTAAAGTGCTGCATAAATTGACAGCCCTATATAAGTACCTGTAATAAATAAATAAAAAAAAAAAAAAAAAAAACAAGTCTGTGGAAATCAATGAAATAAATGAATATAGAGTTTAAACATACTAGCTGTGCAGCATGGTGTGCACTATATTCCTCATCACTATGAAGTCGTTGCTGTATCTTCTCTGTATGCTTGGCAATACAGATCTCCTGAAACAAGAGACAGAAAATAAGTAAAAAATATGCTAATAAAAAACAAAAATAGATTTCCAAAAAAAGGTAATAGGAGGCAAAAAAAAAAAACCGGTAGGTACAGTTCTTTAATTCTTCCCTCCCCCCCCCCAATATATTCCTTACCTTTTCCCTTGTTCTTCATGCCTATACTTGAAACTTCCAGGGCCAAGCGGCACTATCACACGGTGGTAGCCCTGTGTGAGCTATGACTCTAATGACTCTTAGCAGTCTCAGGGGGCATGTATTTGGTCCCAGAAGCTGAAATGAGCAGTGGGGGTGTAGAAAGGAAAGCCTACATAGAAGTGAACCTGTTGCTTTGAACTTTGTGGATAAACCACAGGCTCACTTGTTTTGTAACTTGTTTAATTTACTTGGTTACATTCTGGATCTCTTACATTTTGTTACGGATACTGTGGTTTACAGAAGGGTTACACGAGAAAGGCAAGAACGGGAATCATGTTTTAGAAACTGCACCTTTTTGTTTCTGAGGTAGGCTTTCTTGGCTGAAATTCGGCCACGTTTTGCTTCAAGCTGCCGAACTTTCTGCTGAAGTTTATGCAGTTCTTCTCTTTGTAAATGGATAGAAGCTGCCATATCTTCAGTTGCAAGCATTGCCTCCATGCTTTCATATGTATCATAATAGACAACTTCATCTCTTTTCTCTGCAGAAAAAAAAGGTACATTATTGAAAACGATCAACCTTTATAATTCTTTACAATCTGCATCAAAGACAAAAAGGACAACCGGTATTTGATATCAGTTTGAATTACTGTTATATCACTTTGAGATATAATTTTTATTACGGTATTAAGAACCTAAATATGTTTTTGTACTTATCAAAACCATGTGGTTCATTCAAGATGTTAGCAATTAGCATAGCTGCCTCTATCTATGCACGTGGTGGTACAATTATTTGGAGGCCATACATGTAAAGTCTCATCAGAAATCTCAGCCGGCAAAGCCTGAAAAGGCCATAATATGCATCACTGCAGTCATATTGGAGATCTTCCTGCACTGCTGGATAAATTCCTACTGTTGCTGGTATCTTCATATACTGAATCCAATCACATATTTTAGAGTATCGTTGTAGAAGTCTGGTTAAATAAAAATGGTCAGTGCACAACTATTCTAAAGAAGAACTATAGGCAAAACCTTGCCCCCCCCATTTTGGATAGAATAAGGGAGGGTTATAACCCCTGTCAGATTTTTTGCCAGCTGTATCCCATTTCAGAGATTTCCCTTCACTACATATCCCATAGTCAAAGTCAGAGGAAATTCCTGCAAATTAAGAAACTTCTTTGGGGCCCCCAGGTCGCCAAAACTAGTGTCCCCATTGGATAATTTCCCCTCTATTACTTTTCTGGGGACAACCCAAAATTTGCAATTTTCTTTTACTTTACTATACACTATATTGCCAAAAGTATTTGGAAGCCTGCCTTTACACGCACATGATCTTTAATGGCATCCTAGTCTTAGTCCATAAGGTTCAATATTGAGTTGGCCCACCCTTTGCAGCTATAACAGTTTCAATTCTTCTGGGAAGGCTGTCCACAAGGTTTAGGAGTGTGTCTATGGGAATGTTTGACCATTCTTTCACAAATGCATTTGTGAGGTCAGGCTCTGATGTCGAACGAGAAGGCCTGGCTCGCAGTCTCTGCTCTAATTCATCCCTAAGGCGTTCTTTCGGGTTGAGATCAGGACTCTGTGCAAGCCGTTCAAGTTCCTCCACCCCAAACTCGCTCATCCATGTCTTTATGGACCTTGCTATGTGCACTGGTGCGCAGCCATATTGGAACAGGAAGGGGTCAAACCCAAACTGTTCCCACAAAGTTGAGAGCATGAAATTGTTCAAAATGTCTTGGTATGCTGACGTCTTAAGAGTTCCCTTCACTGGAACTAAGCGGCCAAGCCCCACCCCAAAAAAACAACTCAACACTATAATCCTCTCTCCACCAAACTTTACACTTGGCACAATGCAGTCAGGCAAGTACCGTTCTCCTGGCAAATGCCAAACCTAGACACGTCCATCGGATTGCCAGACAGAAAAGTGTGATTCGTCACTACAGAGGACACGTCTCCATTGAGTCCAGTGGCACCGTGCTTTAAACCACTGCATTCGATGCTTTGCATTGCCCTGTTTTGATGTAAGGCTTCGATGCAGCTGCTTGGCCATGGAAACTCATTCCATGTAGCTCTCTACGCACTGTTGTGCTAATCTGAAGGCCACTGAAGGCTAATCTGAAGTTCCCAGTTACTTCCACTATTTTATAATACCACTAACAGTTGACCATGAAACATTTAGGAGCAAGGAAATTTAATGGATGGACTTATTGCACAAATGGCAACATATCACGGTACCACGCTTGAATTCACTGAGCTCCTGCGAGCGACCCATTCTTTCACAAATGTTTGTAGAAGCAGTCTGCATGCCTAGGTGCTTGATTTTATACACATGTGGCCATGGAGGTGATTGGAACACCTGAATCCAATTATTTGGAGAGGTGTCCCAATTCTTTTGGCAATATAATGTATATTTGCATCATGAGAATGTACGTCTTGTAATAACAGAGAGGGCAGGGCAAGAAAAGCACAGAGATTGGTTGGAAAAAAATACAACCCATTCAGTCAGTTCTCCCTCCAATAAAGCTCAGGCAGGAGACTTCTAGAATTCCTCATTGGTTGTGGCAGAAGTAAAAAAAGTGCTGGATTAGACAAATGTTTCCTGATTTCTTTGTACACCTTAGGAAAAGACCTGGCTTCAGTGCTGTAGCAAACTGGACAAACAAGGAAAAATACAATTTTTTTAAAACTATATTAGGCCCCTTTCACAAGGGCAATCCGATCAGGTCCACCCGTCAGTTTTTTGGGCGGACCTGATCAAATGGTCTATGCATCCCAAGGATAGATGAGAGTAAAGAGACTTGTGTCACCCGCCTACCTCCAGGTCCAATCGGTCTGCTTAAAGGATCGAATCTGAGGGTAGTCGGGGTGTAAAAGGACAGCGGAGTCTGTTTACTCCCAGCCACCCATAGAGCATAATGGGCTCTGTCCGTGTCCGCTCTGCAGAAACTGAACAGACACAGAGGTGTCATCTGCCCGCTTTGCTCTGATCAGCGTGGGATCTGTCAGCTGATCCCCTGCTGATCAGAATGGAATCTGCCCCATGTGAAGGGGGCCTTACTTGGTAAATGTGGTCCAAGTACTGAATAAAAATTCAGTAGTTTTACAAGCAACACTAAAGCAAGCCATACGTGTTTATGTTTCTCTTGGTCTGCCTGCAAACACCATGGATGGAGGAATTTCTCTTGCAAGCTGTAATGTTCACACAGCCACTACTTGAATCCCCACACAGTCACTGCATCTGATAGGATGAATCACTGTTCAGACAAATATTTCCCTCCAGGTTTCTTTAAATTGTAGCTGCAAATCTGTCTAGCTTGGTGGTATGCCAGCAGGGCGCCCACAGTTCAAATTTAGGACAATTCAGGATTCAGACAAATTTTCTGGCACAGCCAGTATGGCAACCAGAACTGTGCAGAGATCATAATAACATATACTTGTCAGTTCAGGCCTTATTAAATCATTCAATACCATGTGTGTCATTTTGTTCGTTAGGGAAAGGTTATGATCCAATCTAAATTTGATTTGTTTTTATAGCAGACCTGAGGTCAAATTTAGATCCGAACTCAGATAAGGATAAAATGGAGACTAAATGGACTATTATAAGCTGTAAAGAAAGGTGACACATCTATGTGTAGAACAAACTTTTGGCAATCATATTCCTTTAGGTAGAAACATTTTAGACAATACTTTGTCTTTAAGACACTATTTGAATATACTGTATAATATATCTCTTATAGAAACATAGTTGTCTACACACAAAACAAGAACCACTCTCCATTTACATTCAAATACATCAAAGTCAAAGAGCTGGCTTACACAAAATGTACTGTTTTATCTGACCTTTATAATAACAATAAAAACTAGTAGAACATATCTGTCACAACACTGGAATGCTGTATGCATTGACTTAAATATAAGCCATGACTCATCTTTACTGTAAGGCTAGGCTGTCATTAAAAATGATTCTGAAATGCAGGGTGATATAATTAGACTCAAGGGAGTCACGCTAATCAAATAACTGACACCCCGTTTTATCTTCCTTGTTTGATATTTTATAGACTGATAACAGATGATGATCCTCAGCAACAATAGACGTTTTCTGCCAGTAAATTTCAATGATTATAGCAATGTTTGATTTTGTTTTTCCTATTTGAAAAGATGCTTCTAACAAAGGTTAACTAACATTTAACTGAAATGCAAAGGCTAGCTTTAAAATGATGTGCTGCTTAAAGCAAAACTAAACCCTCCTCATCCTTTACAGCCAAGGAAGCTGCCATCTTAGCCTCTGCCTGATCTACAGTTGTCATGGTAGTGCACATGTGATCAAATACGACACCAGCCATTTGATGGATTGACAGTTTGGTTGAGAGCACAAGCAACTGTAGTGGGCATGCCTTGAATTTAACCTGTTTTAGGAAGCAGTTAAATGAGAAGTATTACCAATACTTTTTTTGGCCATACTTCTCTTCTGGATCACAGAAGTGCACTTATTTCTGCAGTCCTGTGACCCAGATTGAGCAGACAGCAGGCTAAAACCCAATGTTGGCAGACATCACAGATTTGTTCCAGTCTCTGGATGTACCCCAGAAATAATGGAGGGATCTACTCAAATGCCTGACTAGCAACTGGCTCAGACTCTCAGTTTTGCCACTTTAAGAGTGACGACTTCTGATGCTGTCCTCATGGTTGATTGTTAGACTGTACCCTGATTGGGAGACCCTAAACCAAAGGAAAAGAAGTCAGTGTGGAAGGGACAGTGGAATTGCTCTGAGCTCCAAAACACTGATCAACAGCTGAGCTTCCTCTAAACATCTATGTGCTCTGAACTAAAAGGAAATCCAGGACTCCTTGCCAGTCTGCTAGTTGTTGGCATCAATACCTTTCAGCCCATTGGGATAAAGATCTTCTCCAATTCTAGCACCAACTGGACATTCATAATTTCAGGACCAACCTGGTTTTTCGGAAGGATGCAAGAGTAAATCCAGGGAGCAAGACTGAAGCCCATGCTAACAAAATGTTAGGTTGCAACAGTGTGGATTCAAACTGGGCATAGAGGACTGCCTTGAAGAAGGCCACCATGAAGCGAATACCCTCATGCAGAATCAAACACAGGGGTGAGTCATGGACCACAGATAATGTTACTTCAACCAAAGGGTCAGAAGTGTTTTCTGCAGAAGCAAAATGTGTGTCAGAGCATGGTTAGGAACAGATATTCCAGGTGGTGCAACAGATCCATAGCTGTCTTTTAGAACTTCAGGATTCAGCCATAGCTCTGCAGAGTCTGCACTGTCCTCAGGACATTAACTGCCAGCCTGTCTGCGGATTGTTAAGCAGAAGCAGGTTATCCAGATATCCAAAAACGGGGATCCCCTGAACTCAAAGAAGGTTCAACACCTTGGTGTAAACCCATGGCGATGTAGCTAGGTCAAAGTACAGAACCACAAACTGAAAAACGGCAATTCTGCTAATACAAAATGCAGATTGCTCCGGTGTGGTTGGAAAATGGGAATGTGCAGGTAGGCATCTTTGATGTCTACCAAGGCCAAAAAGCCCATGATGACGAAGAGCAATCAGTGACTGGACTCCATATAAACCGTTTGTACATAAAGAAATTTGTTTAGGTGTTTTAGGTCCAAAATGGTGGGTACACTTCCATTCAGTTGTGGAACAGTGAACAGGTTGTAATAATAATGCTGTTGCCATGGCTGCTTTCCTGTGGAGGGCAGATTTTATACTGGATAACAAAAAGTAAGGTGAAAACAAGGCATGAAACTCCAGCTTGTAGCCTCTGGGCACAATATGCTGGATTTGAAGAAGTGAGGGAGCCCCTTCACTGGAAAGAGGGATTTCCTCTTGCCTTGAAGGATCTGGGAGTTCGGTTCCTTTTACAGAACGGAGTGCAGTGCTTTTGCATAGAACCATGAAGCTTGGAAGGGACAAAACAATGGCTTTACCGTCTTCTTCTGAAGCAAAAGTGAACTTTTGTCTCTAATGATTTTGTGGAAAATGTATCCAAGGCATTGTCAAATTGGCATTCCTCTCAAAGGACATTCGTTCCAACTGTTTCTCGTAGGGAGCTCCGCCGACCAACACTTGAGCCACAAAATGCATTCTATGTGAATGGACATGAGACCCAAATGAGAATGTTCTCAGAAAGAATCTCCAAACCAGAGCACAGATCATCCTGTTCTGAAGGCCACCTGCTTGGCTCAGACCAACAAAGCATGACAGACCCACTACGTATAGAGGACTGCCTGACCACACCTACCATGGAAAAGAATGATTTAGGCCTCATTCACAGGGGCATACTTTACAGGTGTTCTGTACATCTCTATGCAGGATTCAAATCAATTGGGACACAGCCGCTGCTCTCAATATGACATCTGTACAGATCCCCAAACCTGCACTGTCTGTGCTTGGGGACCTGCACGCAACTGCATCCACATGGCTGTCTATTTGAGAGCAGCGGCTGTGTCCGGAACACCTTTACATCCTGTCTGGGCAAACATGGCCCTCCCATGGTCGTAGACTTAAGTACTGGGCCAACTGCAGGGGGGCGGATAAAGACTTTGTCAGGGTGTGCCAGTCTTCATACAGGAACTTTGGAGTATGAGGATGTAGCAGTAAGGTCTTGACTGGCTTTGGAGCCTTCCAAGAGCTTAATACAAGAACCTGGGTCCAGAGGTTTCTGGTTGCAGCATGCAACCTCTAAATCTCTCGACGACGAAAATAGAAAAAGCTTGTAATAAAGATGGCCAGATAAAAATATCTCCTTAGAGACAAGCACAGTGGAGGAAAGTGACCCAGATAAGAGTCAGGAGAATCTTGACACCAGTGAGGATAAAAGTCAGTAATAAAGTCAGGTAGAGGGCCAATGCTGGAAGAGTTTGTAGAGGGATGCACCATTCCCTTCTTTTCACCATGTGTTCAGCTAAAGTGCTTGCCAGGGGTACTCACAACCTGGACATGGTGTAAAATTTGGAGGGGAAGGCCCCTTGGTATCCTACCACCTGAAGGCCTTAGGGCCCAGAAGCAAAAGAACCACCTGTGCTGCTAGTAACTAGAGGGAACTGTATAATGGTGTTCTGTGGCTATTTGGTAGGAAAGGACTATACCATGACAAGATGGTGTGTACAAATGCATTATGTTCCTGAGGTGGAGCCACCCATGTGCAGGGGAAAGTAACCCCCATAAAAAGGCAAAATCCCAACAAAATGAGCCAGTTTGGAATATGATCAAGGTGCCCATTTTGACTGCTTGCCTTCCATGACTTTGTATGGAAGCTCATGGCCAACTAACCCTAACAGCTGCTGCTACTTCTCAATGCCCAAGAGCATAAGTGCAGTGCACTGGGACCCTATGCAGTCTTCAGATGCAGAGCTGTAGGTTCTAGGGACCCAGCTCAATTCTTTACTTCCAGTCCCATTCAGACTAACCCCTGCAGGTGTCTTCAGGGTCCCCTGCAGTGGACCATGGTCCTGGACCTGTATAGCACCCCACAAGCTCTCTCAAGCTCCTGCAGTAGTGTGCCAGGGTAAGTGCTTCCCATGGGGTTCAGTGCTAGCTAGCACCATTACAGGCCTTCCCTGCTGTTATGCAGGGTCTTGTTACAGTCACTCAAAGCTCTGTGATGTTGGAGGCAAGGGATTTGAATACTGCTGTGAAAAAGAGCCTTCTGTTTAAGCAGCAGAACACCAGAATGAATCTCTAAAAGATCAATTTCAATGGACAGTAGCCAAAAAGTGAAGGTAAGCTGGAAGTGGGAGGAGCTGTGAAGGGCTTGGTTTCAGATTTGCTATTTGCCACTGTCCAATCACCTGCAAGCGAAGCAATATCTGAACAGTGACTGCATCTCTTAGGTTGCAGTCACTGTTTGGCTGGCCATTTTTCATCCATCTCCTTTGACTTTTCTTTTGAGTTTTGCTATGCTGGGTGGTGCAATTAGGGAAATTCACAGTTTGAAGTTCAGCTGATTCAGCAGGAATCAGCCAAAATTCAAACAGTGTATGGCCAGCTTATAAGGCTCCCATATATGAATTCTCAGAGAATAAAACAAAGTGAGAAAGATCTGTGCTTAGGATGTGCATTATATCCTGAAACATAGGAAACAGAAAAAAAGATGAGTTGGGACTTGTAGTTCATTCATTCACAGAACGCTGTGAAAGAAAGACGTGGCCATGTGGGCTGAGCCACGCACAGTCGAGCGGTTTTTAAAAAGTGACAGCTAGCAGGGGAACTTCTCCCCATAGTGCTGTCACAGGGTGGGGAAATCGGGCATCGGCTGCAGCATTGGGAACACGTTACATGTTCCACCCTAAAAATGGGTGGAACATACAGTCATGGCCGAAATTGTTGGCCACCCTTGATATTTCTCCAGGAAATCATGTATTTCTCACGAACGTATTGCATTAACACATGTTTTGCTATACACATGTTTTATTCCCTTTGTGTGTATTGGGACAAAACAAAAAAGGCGAGAGGAAAGAAAGCAAATTCGGACATAATGTCACACAAACCTCCATAAAATGGGCTGGCACAAAGTATTGGCACCCTTTCACAACTGCGGATAAATAAGAATGTTACAAGCATGTGATGCTCCTGTAAATCACCTGGGCAAGTAACAGGTGTGGGCAATATAGAAATCACACCTGAAAGCAGATAAAAAGGAGAGACGTTCACTTAACCTTTGCATTGTGTGTCTGTCTGTGCCACACTAAGCATGGACAACAGAAAGAGGAGACGAGAACTGTCTGAGGACCTGAGAACCAAAATTGTGGCAAAAATATCAACAATCTCAGGTTACAAGTCCATCTCCAGAGAACTAGATTTGCCTTTGTCCACAGTGCGCAACATTATCAAGAAGTTTGCAACCCATGGCACTGTAGCTAATCTCCCTGGTCGTGGACGGGATGAGGAAAATTGATGAAAGATTGCAACGCAGAATAGTCCCGGATGTGGATAAGCAGCCCCAAACATGTTCCAAAGACATTCAAGCTGTCCTGCAGGCTCAGGGAGCATCGAGTGTCAGCAGCGAACTATCCGTCGACATTTAAATGAAATGAAACGCTATGGCAGGAGACCCAGGAGGACCCGCCCCACTGCTGACACAGAGACATAAAAAAGCAAGACTACAGTTTGCCAAAATGTACTTGAGTAAGCCAAAAGCCTTCCCTGGGAAAACGTCTTGTGGACAGATGAGACCAAGATAGAGCTTTTCGGTTAAAAGCACACATCATTCTACTGTTTACCGAAAAACGGAATGAGGCCTACAAAGAACCAAAACACAGTACCTACGGTAAAATATGGTGGAGGTTCAATGATGTTTTGGGGTTGTTTTGCTGCCTCTGGCACTGGGTGCCTTGACTGTGTGCAAGGCATCATGAAATCTGAGGATTACCAAAGGATTTTGGGGTCGCACTGTAGGGCCCAGTGTCAGAAAGCTGGGTTTGCGTCCAAGATCCTGGGTCTTCCAGCAGGACAATGACCCCAAACATACGTCAAAAAGCACTCAGAAATGGATGGCAAAGAAGCGCTGGAGAGTTCTGAAGTGGCCAGCAATGAGCCCAGATCTAAATCCCATTGAACACCTGTGGAGAGATCTTAAATTGCTGTGTTGGAAAAGGTGTCCTTCCAATAAGAGAGACCTGGAGCTGTTTGCAAAGAGGAAGAGTGGTCCAAAATTCCGGGGTGAGAGGTGTCAGAAGCTTATTGATGGTTATAGAAGCGACTGATTTCAGTTATGTTTTCCAAAGGGTGTGCAACCAAATATTAAGTTAAGGGTGCCAATACTTTTGTCCAGCCCATTTTTGGGGTTTTGTGTGACATTTATGTCATATTTGCTTTTCTGCCTCTGTTTTGGCCTATTTGTTTCAATACATACAAAGGGAATAAACATGTGTATAGTCACAAAAACATGTGTTAATGCAATACCTTTTTTGTGTGAAATACTTGATTTTCAGGAAAAATATCAAGGGTGCCAACAATTTCGGCCATGACTGTATAACATGTTCCCAAAGGTGAAACTTATCCTTTGCTCCATGCGCACTAGCTTAAAAAAAAATGCTGCTCCTAGAGAAAGTTTACAGTTTTGCATGTTAATATGTAAGCAACAAATGTTATCCTATGTGTCCATGCACACTAGGTAGTCTAGAGACACTTTAAGATCAGTGTTTACAGGCAGAAAGAAAAACCCTTCCGTTTTTTTGCATTTTTGGAGAGCACTAATCACGATCCTAAAAAGCTAGTACAAAAAAAACCGCTCAAAAGCAGCATTTTTTCTGCAGGAGCTTTTTTAAGTCAGTGAGCATGGAGCCTAAAGCTTTGTGGGGAATGTAGGTTATAGTGACAGGACAGACATTTTTGTACAAGTTTATGATGAAGCCCAAACCAAACTCTTTCCAATAATGTAACATTAACAATATCCCTTGTTGTCAATCTGACACCTTTGGTTGTCCTCTGAATAAAGACATTTTGGACATCTTCAATGACAGGCTCAGTATGACGTAAATCCACACATACCAACAGAAGTTAATTCACCCAACACCCTGAGCAAATATTTGATCCACACACTACAGTTCCACTTTAAGTAACTGGGAATAAATTTACATTTTCAGGGTTTTAAAGATTTTTTAGTAAATAGACAAAGTACATAACAAAGAAAATTTACCTGACATCTGGCGTTTGATGCTCTCTAGCTGAGCTGTAAGTAGTAGCTCCTCACATTTGAGAATCTCAAACTGGACTTCATATAGCTGAAGCTGATGGGTATACATAATCTGCTTCTAATCGGTCTAACACAGCTATTGCTTCTTCTCCACCATGTAAACTCTGCATCTAAAAATAGTAAAAAAAAAAATATTAAGATTAGCTCAAGGACTGCATTAAACAAAAGAACCTTGACCGAATAAGGGTCTATCATTGTTATATGAAATATGTTTGTCTTATGTGCTTCACTGGCAATTGAATTAAAATAAACATACAACAGCCTGGAATAGGAAAGGCCTAAAAGCAATAGGTTCCTGGACGTGGAAAAAGATGCCAATGCTCCAATAAACAGCATTTAAAGCATTTGCGGACACACAGCTTCAAAAGGCCATTGTAATACAAGCCTATAGAATTGTGTGTCTCCTTTATCTTCTCAGGTTCCGCTGACACTCATGGCCCCCCCTTCCTCCTGTCGGGTGCCCCCATAGCAAGAAGCTTGCTATGGAGGCACCCAAGCAGGTGCGCTCTGGAGCCATTAAAACCACTTTACGGAGTTAGGTGGCAGTCTGCGTCCATAACAACCAATGACTCATCAGGATTCCCTGCTGACAGTTGAATGTAAACAAATAATGCCGGGATTTAAAAACAAAAAAAAAAAAGGCCACATGTCCTCAAAAGCGAACATTGGAGAGAGGGTGTTTTTTGGGCAGGGGGGCACAAGGGGCCTCTTTCCCACAACCCAGGACAGTGTATGTAGGGGTCTCACAAGAGGCAGGGCGCTTTTTGATCCAGCACCCCCCCCCCCATGAAAATGAATATGGGATACTCACTTCAAAAGAAAAAAGAAAAGTCCGCACCCGATGCTGGGTCCCGCCGTCTGACAAGATCCACTTCGTAGCTGCTGCTAAATGACCCCTGCCCCCCTGTGATGTCATTGATAGGGCATGCTGGGTTGATGGCATCACAAGGGGATGGGGGTCACGGGTGGCCTCGACCCCTTAGTTTTATTTCGTGGCAGGCAACTACAAAGCTGAATCGTGTGAATGAGGATTGATCTAGACTGAGGGACAATTTTTACAAATATCTTTTAATATAGACTTATCAAAAAAATGTCTCCTGACTATATATTACATTACTTTTTTTTTGAAACGAGTAGAGGTACTATGTACCCCATACTCATTCATATCGGGACGGGGGGAGGGTTAAGGATCTGGGGGGCCCCCTTGTTAAAGGAGGCTTCCAGATTACCGTATAAGCTCCCCTGCCCACAAAATGGGCGGGGGGGGGGGGCTTAGACCCCCCACCCAGGATGTGGTGTGGAGTTCCCCTCATAATCCAAACCAGAACTAAGGGTCTGCAATAGATTTGGGGGGACCCATGCAGTTTTTTTTTAATGATTCAATGCCAGCATTTCTTTTGTTTACATTCAGCAGTCAGTGGGGAAATCCCTGGTGGAAAATCGCTCCTAAAAAACGCAAACCAGCAGAGGCTTTTCTTTCTGATCCTAAACACTGAGCTTTAAAAAAATGCATCTAGACTACAATATGTGCATGGACACACAGGATAACATTATTTGCCTTTTAGGGGCAGAAAAAAACCTCTAAATGCTGCTGCTAGTAACGTTTTTTAAGATAGTGTGCATGGAGCCCATAGCTGGCGGAGAAAGACGAGGAGAACTTACTGGGCAGAAAAAAAAGGCAAAAAGAAATCATTAAAAACTGACTCCAGCTCCATGTATTTTAGGTATTAATGGTGGTGGGGCTGGGGCTCAGAACTCTATTTGCTGTCTGTGAATCCACTAGGGAGATTTCCCTTAAAGGAGAAGTGTAGCCGAAGCTTTTATGGCTGTACTTCTATGGATCACAAGAGTGCAGTTCTTTCTGCACTCCTGTGATCCATTGTCAGCCGACCCAGGCTCGGGATTGAACCCGATTTTTACAGTTGCGGTTCACCAAGATGCCTAGACCAGCAGATGGTTCAGCTTCTCAGTGAGCCGATCCTGTCCCCTGTACAGACCGGCGCTCCAGTGAGTGTTGGAGAGGCACAGCAGACAGCCAGTGACTGACAGTCACTGGCTCTCTGTTCACTAAGGACTGAGAACCAAAAGCAATCAGAGGTCTTTGATTGCTCAGTTCTCAGTCTTAGAAGCAGTGGGGGATTGATGCTACATCCACCTACATACAGTTGTGTCCAAAATTATTCAACCCCCCACTGAAATTGAGTGTTTTGGCCAGTTTGACATTGCTTTTGGATCATTCAGTCATCTTGCTTGCTTACATTTACATTAAAGAGGCACTTGTAGGTCAGACAAATATAACATAACAGTTATAATGAAATAACCACAAATGTCTTTTCTGTGCTCACCAAAAGCATTATCAGTTTTATTCAACCCCCAAGTGACATTCAATCTTAGTACTTAGTACAGCATCCTTTACAGTTATAACAGCTTTTAAACGTGAAGCATAGCTTGATACACAAGTGTCTTGCAGCGATCTACGGGTATCTTCGCCCATTCTTCATGGGCAAAGGCCTCCAGTTCAGTCACATTCTTAGGCTTGCGCACTGCAACTGCTTTCTTTAAGTCCCACCAGAGGTTTCTCAATCGGATTTAAGTCTGGTGACTGCGATGGCCACTCCAAAATGTTCCAAGCCTTTCCTCTGCAACCATGCTCTAGTGGACTTGGAGGTATGCTTGGGATCATTGTCCTGTTGAAAGGCCCAAACGTCTCCCAAGCCTCAGGTGTGTGACGGACTGCATCACGTTTCCATCCAATATTCTCCTGGTACTGAAGAGAATTCATGGTACCTTGCACACGCTGAAGCTTCCCTGTACCTGCAGAAGCAAAAAACAGCCCCCAAAGCATGATTGACCCTCCACCATGCTTCACAGTAGGCAAGGTGTTCTTTTCATCATAGGCCTTGTTCTTCCTCCTCCAAACATAGCGTTGATCCATGGGCCCAAACAGTTCTAATTTTGTTTCATCAGTCCACAGAACACTATCCCACAACTTTTGTGGTTTGTCCACATGGCTTTTGGCATACTGCAGTCGACTCTTCTTATTCTTTGGAGACAGCAAGGGGGTACGCCTGGGAGTTCTGGCACGGGAGGCCTTCATTACGCAGTGTGTGCGTCTTATTGTCTGGGCTGAAACTTCTGTACCCCCACATCTGACAAATCTTTTCTCAGTTCCTCAGCAGTCACACGGGGACTTCTCTCCACACTCTACGCTTCAGGTAGCGCACAGCACAGTCGAAGTCAGCATCTTCTTTCTGCCACGACCAGGTAGCGTTTCAACAGTGCCCTTTGCCTTGAATTTGCGAATGATGCTTCTAAGGTGTCTCTTGGTATGTTTAACATCTTTGCAATCTTCTTATAGCCATTGCCCTCCTGTGAAGAGAAATCACCTCTTCTCTTGTCTTCCTGGACCATTCTCTTGCCTTCACCATGTTTGTAACCACACACAGTAAATTGTCTAGAAGGAGCTGAGTATCACAGTCATTTTAAAGCTGCCTAATTGGTGCTTATTATGCTTGATTGCTGCTCGGTGTGACATCCACAGGTGTTTTCAATACCTGATGGAAAGCACCTGTCTATGAACCTCTGTTCTTCAGAGTGGTAGTCTTTAAGGGGTTGAATAATTGTGGCAATGAAGGAAACCACATAAGAACCATTTACTACTGTATTACATAAACAATTGATGTCATTTTAGTTGCATTTGGGTAGTTACAACGTCCTTGTAGGATTTGATTCTGAATACAATTCCAACTTGTACACTATTAGTCCCTAAACCCCTTTAAGCATTGGGGGGTTGAATAATTTTGGACACAACTGTAAGTATAACTATTTGGGTTATTTTTTTAAACCCCATACTTTTATTTTAAACTGTGTTTCAGCGACAGTGATTGTGTCAACATGAAAAGAAAATGTGGGGAACCAGGGGTCACCAGGACAGGAAATCAATAACACGACGATATTGAAAAACTCCCATCACTTTTTGGCCCTCTGTAAAGCTAAATAGCTTTTAAAATCAGATCAAAAGCACATAACCAGATACAAAATTTACAGAGAAACAAAAATAGCAGATGGTGCTTAGTTGACCACTCAGCTCAGTGTCCTATTAAAAGAGTGCCACCAAAATTTGGAGGGTAACGTAGCACTGGCAAGCTGCGGAGTCAGTCAATGCTTTTAAAACATAAAAAACATCGAGACTGCTATTCCTGTAACTCATCACTGTAAAGTTAACTATAAATGTTATTTTTGTTTCATTTAATTTTTTATTGTGAGCAAATGTACTGTTATTATTATTATTATATGTTTCCTACTGGGAGGCTTAAACTGAACCTTTGTTGGATATCTGCATTATTGTTACTTCAGTGTAGTTCGATATATGTATCTACTTCCATGACATTATATTTAGTCACAGTGGCACCAGATAACACCTTTGACTCCCTGTCGATGGGTCAGAATTTAGAGGAAAACTCCCCAATGGAGACCTAGAGTGCAATGCAAACCACCATTTTATACAAAACAGAAGGACAACAGAATCTTGATTTTATAATAAGAATCTATGCAAGTCTATTATTTGCTTACTAGAAGACGAGTGTTTCATATCTCTGGTGGATAATTTGACCGCGTAAAAAAAGCAACTTTAGAGCCTATTGCAGGGGACTTTTGTTTGCTTCAAAGCAGGTTTTGCATGCCTACACAAACCTATAGGAATGCAAATCCCATATGCAGGAAAAGGTCAAATGCAAGTTAAATGCACGTCAATGAATTCTGAATGCATGTCAAACTGATGCCCACCAACACATGCCAAACAGCAGACCCCAACGTTCCTGGATACAAGTCTGCATGCTTCCTTCTAAAGTTAGTAGTCTACGATGTTGAGAAAATTCAATCTGAAGAATTAAGTTGCACCCTGTATCCATACAAAAGCAATGAATTAAAAGAGGCAACATGCAATTCAACATCAATATCCAGCTTATATGAAACACATGAGCCTTCATCTTTCAAAAGGGAATTAAAAAAAAAACAAACAAAAACACCAACCACATATTTGACCAGGCACCACATCAAACTTAAAAACAACACTGAAAAGTTA